ATGGTGGTGCATGCCTGTAGTCCCAGCTACTCAGGAGGCTGAGGCAGAAGGATTGCTTGAGCCCAGGAGTTTGAGGTTGCTGTGAGCTAGGATGATGCCAGGGCAGTCTAGCCTGGGCAACAGAGCGAGACTCTGTCTCAAAAAACAAAACAAAACAAAACAAAACAATGTTTCATAAAAATTGGATTGATGGTTTTAAATAAAAAGAGAGAGTTAAGAGATAGAAAAGTCAGTTAAATAAAGAATCCAGGACCATTCATTGATTCACTCCACTAACAATTATTACATGCCTACAGCATGCAAGACCCACTTGCCAATGTTCAAAGTCTTCATTTATCTTGAGTGGACACTCTCTTCCCAGCTCCTGTTAATTATTCCTTCCTATTGGTTCTAAAGCATGGGCCAACTATAATGGCTCTCTGTTACCTTATTCCTCAAGGAAAGAACTATATTTCTTATTCATTTTGAAATACCTTGTGGTTCCTAATATAGGGTTTAGCACATAGATTTCAACAAATATTTGAAGACTGAATTAAGTAATGACTGAAATAAGCCTGAACTATTCAAATAGTTCCCTAAATCTGTGGTTCCCAACCCCTGGCCATGGACTGGGCCACAGAGCTCCACCACCCATTCCACTCCCCTCATCCCCGCCCCCACCCCCAACCCCAACCCCTGCCCCAGGTCTGTGGAAAAATTGTCTTCCATGAAACTTAGGAAATGGGAAGGAGGGAGAGCACACAGCAGGAGGTGAGTGGTGGGCAAGCGAGCAAAGCTTCATCTGTATTTACAGCCGCTCCCCATAGGTTGCATCACCACCTGAGCTCCGCCTCCTCCTAGCCCCGCCCCCCCTCCACGGAAACATTGTCTTCCATGAAACTGATCCATGGTGCCAAAAAGGTGGGGACCACTGCCCTAAATGGCTATCTTGCCATTCTTCTCATTGCTAAAGATTGTATCTTTTTAAGAAGCCAATGTCTTAAAAAATTTCCTCAGCTATTGTAATTTTTGCTACAATTAACAGTATAACTTATGTTATGTTTTCTTTCCTATATATAGTATACTTAGTATATAGCATATTTAGCAAAAAACCCCTGAATGAAGTATCACCTTATAAAAGAGCAGGATGAAGTTGATAGCGAAGGCTACAAACAGAGCAAGGAACCTCAGGTTGTAGAAATTCCTGGCCAGGTAATGCTGAAAAGAGAAGGACAGGCAAAAGTAGAAGAGTTTGGAAGGGAAAGAGAACATCCCTCTCTCACACAGAATATCTATTCTGGTTATAAGTGCACATGGGACTAGTCCTACCCCTTGATGGCCACTCTTCTAGGGCAATCCTGGTCTTCTTAACACTGGCAATGACTTACTTGAGGGGAACCAGAAATGCTGACTTTTAAAAAATTGCTTAGAATGATGCTCAAAAGAACCCTGCTTTGGCTTATCCCTTAGGGAACCGAATGGCTAAACATGCCAGCAGCAGAGGACTCAAGCACTGCCTTGAAGGTGCTGTATGTGTTTTCATGATCATTCCATGCAGGATATAGCCTATTTGGAAATTATGAGTGATCTAGGCCCACAAAAGACTCCTGCAACTCCCACCCTGGATGCAACCAGACTGTGGCCTGGAGTCCTCATCCCTGTGTAAGTTACAGCCCTAGAAGCCTCTTCCTCTCTCTTCTCAGGGGTGACATTTACATGCTCACTGCCATCTTCCCTGGAGAAAGCAGCACTGAAAGACTGGAATGGTAGGTGCATGGGCAAAGTTTTCAATCTCTCTGTGGAGGGGCCCTCGCTCATCATGCCAGGGAAGGTGTGGTCCTGGCCAGAAGCCCTGGTATCTCAGTGGGAAGTTCATCAGAGAAAGAATATTATAAGCTGTAGGCAGTAGGAGGACTGAGGTTTGATCACATGCAGAATAAAGCTTTGGAGGACTAGCGTGGGAGCCCAGCCTAACACAGGGAAGTTTTATCTGTATCCCGCACGATCAAACTACTTCTGAACTTTTGGACCAGGGTCGGCTGAGTCCCCACATCACACATGCAAAGGACAGCCAAGAAGAGGCGTTCCCACTCTTTGCCGAGAAAACAACCCAGGAGGACATCTTGCTGCTGGGCAGAGCTGCTGGAGGTCTGTGGCTCTTTCCACGTTACCCCCTTTTTCTTTCCCTCTGACACAAAAGGGGTAGGCAGATAAATGGGAAGAAAAGAACAGGAATGAGAAAAGGGAGGAAATGTAACCAACCCAACAGCAAAACAAATCAGCAGCACCTCTCTGTGGTCTGCTCAGGCCAAGGCCTACACTGGAGGGCCGAGGCTGGGGCACTTACCAGTAGCTTGGTCTGATAGATTTCCAGCCCTTTAAAGAAATTGGCCGTGAAGGCTTCTGGCTTCTCAACCTTCTGACCGTGCCGTCGCTTCCTTCTTTTTGTCACTTCTGCCCACAGGTACTCGGCTTGCTCCTCCTCTTTGGCTCTGTCCTCTTTTTCTCCATCTTCCGCGCTGCAGGAATGGCAAACCCACTTAGAAGGGGGAACACGGGTAGGTCTGGCCCAGAAAAGGAGACCAAATTAAAGAGAAGTCTGGGTTGAGAAGGGCAGGAGGTGGAATCATTCCTCAAGGGTGGAAACCTCAGGTCATTATCAACCCACGGTGGCCCAATGCCAAATTTTTATTTAATGAGTGGTGACCACTTCAATGAGCCATGGTCATAGGCTACATCAGTTATATACAAATCTCTACTCTTTTTTTGAGATTAGACTTAACAAATTTTTTTTTCCCTTCAGAGAAATTGTCTTTTATTTTCTAAGCCTTCTTAGGTGTTAGCAATAGTAACTACTCTTCTAAGGTTATGGCAAAACTTAGTCATATATTGTATAAAAGAGCTTAACACAGGCCTGACATGTAATCGGTATTCAATAAATATCATCATCACCACTACACGAAGTTGTAAATTATAGGTGTTTGATCATTTGTTTGGCCGGACAGTGAATCCAATCTACTACTGAGATTGTAAAGTTAATAAGATTACTAGAATGTGTTTACTGTGTAGCTGGGGTAAAAGGAAATAAACCCAGGGCTTGAAGAATATATACATTGTTTGCATGAATAGAAAAGCGACATAATAGTAGATGTTATCAAGAACTATCTACTGTAGCAATTAGAGTAGCTGATGCTACCAAAAACTTACTCTGCCTTCTCAGAGTCTACTTTTCCTTCTGCTTCATGTGCTGCTTTCATCTCTGCTGCCTGGACAAAAATAACAATCAGTTAAGGTTCCCTCAAAGAAGTGAGTTTATGAAGATGACCCAACTTGTTGGCCATTTTCTTCTTGGTCACAAATTCCAGTGGCTTTTTCTTTTCGTGTTTCTGCTTCTTCCAGGATCATTGAGTGTAAGTGCCCTGCTATATATTGAGTGACTCTGGAGAGATGCCAAGACAAAGGTTTCAAGCTTGAAAACTCAACTTTCCTGCTATTATTTTTTTAACTCAAAGGGGAAGCTCATGCTAGGACACTGTGAGAGCCCTAGGAAAGTGGTCCTATTGCCCCATGGAGTCAGAGACAGGTGGGACACAGATGAAACCAAGTCCAGTCCAGGACCTGCTTCCACTGGACAGGCTTCCTGCCTTGTTTTCAGTCCTCTTGCCACTGCGCCAATCCCTGTGGTGGCCACTGCACTGAGAATAAAATCTAAGCTCCTTACTGAGGCTTGAGAGTCCTGCATGATCGTGGCCTTTCTCTCTATCCTCATCTTGTACCACCTGACTTCTTGTTTCCTACACTCAAACACACGGATCTCCTCTCCTTTCCTGGAACATCCCAAATCTGTCTGTGCACGAGCCATATCCTCTGCCTGGAGCACAACTGCCCCAGCCTTTCAGGTGTCTGCTGTGCTTCAGGACTTGGCTCAGATGACACCTTACAGAACGTCTTTGACCACCCTATTTCTAGTGGGCCTGTGTTCACTCTGTAACATATTAGCATGTTCATTTATTCTAACATGCAGCACAAATGGTAATTATTTATTTTGTCTTCTCCGACTAGAAGTTAAGCTCCGTGAAAGCAAAAATATCGTCTCTCTTTTTAATCAATGTATTCTCATATCCTAGAACATAGCCTGGCATATAGCAGTCCCTGAATGAGTCCCTGTTATGTATCAAACTCTGTTCTAGGCCCTGGGGATGCATTAGGGAGTAGAACATAATAAGTAATATTGTAAGAATGCCTATGATTCTGACCCTTCCTTTCCTGACTCTCCAAGCCAGGTAGGAGCTCTATCTTATGCATTTCCATAGTACCTGACATTTCCCTGCCCTAGCATTCTTCATGCTTGTCCAAGATCTATCTTCTCCAGTAAATTATAGGGACAATGCATTTCTCATTCACCACTGTGTTCCCAGAGCTTCAAACAGTGACAAGTGCATGTTAACTTCTCAATAAATAATAATGGGCTCTGATCCCTTCAACTTCTCTACTCTCTTCAGTGCTAGGATGACACCGTAAGTTGGATGCTGCAAGAGGGGGAACACCTAAAACCTTCTGTGGCCAAGGGGCTTTGAATTATCGCTACCTTGTTCACTTAATCTAGTTGACTGACTCGAAGTACTAATTGAATAGTGGTGCATCACAAGGAAAAATGTCCCAAGCATGATCAAACTCTTTGGGAGCCTATGCCAGATCATACGATGTCATCTGGATCGTGTTAGTGTACTGTACAAGTACTATCTCACATGATCGACCTCCTCTTTTGTTGTACTTGGTTTTCCATGCTTTCAGTTCACTGACTGAATCTCTGTGCCATGAGAACTAATGTTTTAATAAAAGTTGAAAGTGAAGTGAGGGTCGCAGACCACCATGTTTGGACTCTCCAATGTAAATTGGAAGAGCATCCAATGACTAGAAACTGAGACCACCATTTAAGTCTCAATTTCCCCACACATGGCGGAACTGGAATGATAAGATCAGGGTAATCAGAGCAGAGCCAGTGTCTAATACAATGTTGGCTCCTGGGCAAATGGTGTCAGTCCTGGATTGCAAGATATGGTGGCAAGTCTTTTTCTGGGGATAAAGAAAGAGGACAGAATACAAAGTACGCTTACCTGTGCTTTCCTTTTCTTCCGTACAGTACTCTCTAACGTGGGAGCTTCATCCTTGCCAATAATTTCAGAGAGGTCACCCAGACCCACTTCGGGCCCATGCTTTAAGCTACCTTCTTTCTTTGGGCGCAGTCCAAAGAGGTCTGGCATCATGTCTGCATCTCCCTTCTCACCCTTTACGAAGTGGGCCAGTTCAGCTGTGATCCCTGGCTCGGTCACTTCTGCCCTCTCCATCTCCACAGCATCCTCATGGATACCAAATTGGGTCGGGTCAGGCATGTCACCCAGGATCTTGGTCACTCTGATGTTCTTTGCCCCTTCTACTAGGCCCCCTCCAAACACTGTGCTCCACAGGACCTGAAAGATCCCTCCCAATATGCCGAAGAACAGCTGGAAGAGCCCCAGGAACAGAGTCCAGAAAAAAGAGAAGAACACCTTCACCAGCTCCTTTGCAGACATCTTTTTCACGTTCCTGTATTGCTTCCTGAGGTTCTTCAGGGTGGCCTTCTTTAGAAAGCTGGTGACACTTCTTTTCACAGAGGCACAGGCCATGGCAAATGCCGAGGCAGACTCAAAACACTTGTCTTCCTCCTCTTCACCTTCAATTTCTAATGTGTAAATAGCGTCTTCCTCATCCTCCTCCTCCGGCCTGTCTGCTGAGTCGGATTCAGAGATCTGAGATGCTAACTGCATCTCGAAGATCGTGTCCTCACAAAAGTTCACAAACAGCTCCATCTTTTCCTGCTCCCCACCTTCGTTGACGACATCAAAAATGAACTGTCGCTTAGATTCCTTCACCTGGGGCTTCTCCCACTGAGTCCGACTGGATTCAGTGATCTCAAAATAAACACGCTCGATTTTCTTGGCCCCACCCATGATCTCGATCCTTCCTAGGTACGGTTCAAAGTAATTCAGCACACTTTCTGCCGGGTCCAGCAGACACTTCAGGCGAGAGTCATTTGGCATGTGTTCAGAAAGATTTGTCAACAACACTGCCACATTGAACCCTATGTCCTTGGCCGGCTCATGGAACCGGTCCACAAAATCGATGTAATTAAACATGTCATTCTCATCAGCTTCTGCACACGAAAGGAGAAAGTCAATCTCTGACTGTGTGTACTGTTTTTGCCCTTCCATGGCCTTCTGGAATTCTTTTTTGGAGATAATCCCTTTCCCATCTGGGTCATATTCTTTGAAGGTATCTGAGCTGGTTAAGTCTTTAAGTTTCAAGAACATGTCAAAGAATTTCAAGATCATTTCTACATTGGTAGATGATTCTACCAGTGTGTCAACCATCTGCTTGCCAATAGTTCCATTTACCACATTCCCTGTGAGGCAGGTTCAAAAAGACATATAGACATATAAATAAACCCAAGCCATCATGTAACTCATCAGGTAGCTATTTTTAGAAGACTTATGTGCCCAATTAGTTAGCTTTTTTCTGACCGTGATGATCTGGAGATGGGTAGGAGGGAGCAGCAAGCCATAAAGACTACACCACTAGGAGCCAAGGGGGAAAGAAACAGAGGGAAGGAGGTGGCCACGCCACTGCCTCGTATCAGGCCTGGGGCCTGGGAAGTGGTTTCGTGATCGGATTGTTGGGGACACATAGGGATACATGGTGCCCCTCTCATCCCCTTAGACCTAGGAGGGTGCCCAACTAGATGGCTGGCATACACACCAGCAGCCAGATGTGTTGAAAAGCAATGGGGAGAGGGAGAGGATAGGGAACAGCAAAGCTTAGAGGTTTTCCCCAGTTCATTCTGGCTTTCCTATTGATACAAAATGAGTTGATTTTAGGCTTCATCCATCAGACCAAATGCCCCTCACTCATTTTTTTGTCTTGGAAAATTTGGCTTTTTGACCAATATCATATCATATCAGTGACCTGTCAGAAGGATGATCTGCGTAATTAGTAAGGTTAGTGCTCAGACCAATTACAGTTGTGTGAATGCCTAATTATACCAAACAGCCCAACCTTCCAGGAGGGACAGAAGCATCACCACCATGTCCTGAAGGAGATCCAAGAGTTCCTTCAGCAGCTCGATCTGACTGGAATCCTAGAACAGAAACAGGAGATACCCCTGAGCTATCTGATCCCTCAGCAAAGTACAGGGCAGTGAGCAAGAAGAGCCTGCTCTGGAAAGGTTAGGTGAAGGCTGCGCAGGTGTCGGGATCGAGCTCCCTTGTTGTGAACGAGGACGTCTTATCCTCCACTGCTTGCAGCATCGGGAGGCTCCTCCAACAGAGCTCCTTTACATTTGTCCTTTCATTAGTACAATGTGGCAGATATACCAATTGTTGTCCAAAACTACTAAACAGCCCAATCCACCAAAGAGCCTTTAGATATTTCTAGTAGTTTCTGTTGGCATTTTTTATACTAGAGAATTACCGGGGAGCTTTATGGGAATACTGTTGCAATCCAGTTAAAGTATCAAGGTCATAATCACCAAGTGGGTTCTCCTTTCTTTCTGGATTAATTTAGATTCTCCTGATTCTAGCTGGTGGTGATCTGGGTGCCACTGGTCCCTTAAAATAGTATGTAATTGAAGCTAGTCCTCTGGACGGTTTTGATACTAGTCTGTTTGGTTTTAATTTCAGCAATGCAGAAAGGGCACTGCTAAGACAGCTCTGTGCTTGATACCCTACATCATAACAGGAAATGATCCTTGAAGATCCGAGGTGGGCAGTCTGAGGGTACAATGAAAAAATGTATTCTGGGTCACCTTTCTTTTACAGACTCTCTCAAAACAAACCATAGCTCTTTGCCTAGCCCTTCAATTGTCAGAGGAATTTTCCCTCACCTATGGTGTGTGTCGTAGCTATACATGAAATATCATAGAAATGTAGAATATTACAGCTGGGAAGAGACCTCAGAGATCATCTGTTTTAATTCTGAATGTTTTATAGACGATGAAACCAGAAACCAGCAAGGGGAAGAGACTTTCTGCAAGTCACTGGTGGGGAGGTGGCAGGACCAAGGCTCTTGTTTCCAGAACCTCTGCACAACACTGCCCCGGCTGACAGAGGAGTGGACGTATGACTATCAAATTAGCAGCCCTCCCGTGAACTCTCTCCTCCCATAAGGCCAGAGTCAAAAGGGGAAAAATGAAAGGGTTAAATAGCACATTCCAGAAGAGAGGAGGCAAATGTGACAGCCCTGAAAGTTTTATACATTATTTAAATTAAAGCTGCAAATGTTACTCTAATCAGCCTGAAACACATCCTGAAGGTCTCCCTCGTGTGTTGCCATGGAGAGAGGCAATAAACTACCACCTATGCTACGTTTGTTTGTTCATAATAAATGCTCTGTGTGGTTCCGATTCATCTTGCCAGAGAGATGGGGAGTGAGAAGGAGAGGCAGAGATGGTGAGGGAGGGGGATGCAGAGATGAGAGAGAAGGGGTATGTGGATTACGGAGACATGCAACATGGGACATGGGACAGATCGTACAGGGCTGACAGGTTGTGTTTATAGGTCAACAAAAACGGTGACAAGGAAGCATAAAGGGTTAGCACCATAGAAAGCAAATGTTGAGGCTATGAAACAAAGGGTGGGTTGGTGGGACACAAGGAAGGAAGCTGCCTTCATGCAAAAGCCTGCCTGGGACCCCCCTGGAGGCATTCATTCCTGTCTCCTATTTTGGCCCTCAGTTTAAAAATGAGACCTTAATATGCATGGCTTTTCCAGCCTTTGGTCAAGCAGCCACATCTGCAACGGGAATACCAAGGGGGTGACACGTGCAGGGAACTGGCCACAGTACCTGAGAAAGCTTCATCTGCATGTTAGCAAACACATGGAGGAAGCCGACCACTGCGTCCCACAGCCTGCTGTGAGCCAGGCTCTGCTGGTTCCCGACACAAGGGCCCTGCGGAGAGGAGGATATCCTAATTTCACTTCAACATCACAAATCGCTCTGAAACCTGCCCTAGTTAAGGGCATTTGATACCTACGTATGTGGGCAGGTGGCACTTTGCAAAAGTCACATATTTCCGTAGCTCAATGTTTTCCCAGGATATTACTTTTTTTTCCTTCTGATCATAAAATACCACATCTAGGAAAAACCACTATGGATTTCATAGTCCAGTGATTTTCAGAGATTTTCTTTTAGCCACAGAATAAGGTCCTCAAATAAAACTTTACATCGAAGAACAATATTTAAAATAGCTAAATGCTGTGGTTGAAACAGAGCTGAAGGGCACTCTGCCCAAACTCGCCCACCCCTTGGCCTCAGAGGCCTTCTGAGGAACTCAAGGGTGCCGTGGAGCACAGTTTGAAAAGCAGGCCATAGTCTACCTATCATTTTCTGTCAAAGTTACACATAAATGCTTTAACGTAGGTATCTAATCAAGTTTTTAAAAAATCTGTGTACTAATCCTAGTGTTCAATTGCTTCTAGGATTTTCTCATCATTAACCTAAACTTCAGATATAAAACCATCTCCATCTTTTCTGAAAGGCAAACATAGAGGGAAGACTTAATTACCAGTTTGCATTTTCCATGCTAATAACCATCTTATGTTTGAAGATCATTATTGAACCAACACTGCTTATCCTCTTTTCTTTATAGTCTATTTTTTTCTACCCTTTAACCAATCTCCAAATCACCCTTCAATGAGAAAGTTCCAAAAGGCACAGGTTATTACCTAAAGATCTAGCAAAGTCTGGGTAGGACTCCCAAGATAGGTGAGCAGGAGAAATATTGCCTGTATCCCCAATCACATAATTTTGTTTAGAAATCACCGTTTATGTACATTCAGTGTCTGATCCCTTGAAGCCACTTGATTCTTTTTGGAACAAAACCGGTTGTTGAAAGAAACTCACATTCACCACAAATGAGCTTCTCCTTTATTTCTGGGTTAAGTGCTCCATGGGAAATTCTGGAGATTAGGATGGGTTTTGCAGAGATCAGAGCAGATGCTTGTCAAATACGTTCAATGATCGCCTTAGGTATATCACATTCTGTGAAACCTCAGAGCAGGCACCTGCTCCTAGGTTTGTCTTTCCGTGTCCTTACAGTGCTTGAGTGACAAGAGTCCATTTCTCCCTTAAAATCCTCCTTTTAAGTTTATAGTCTTAGCTTTGTGTTTATTTGTGTATGAGAAAATATGATATGAGTATAGCCAGTTGGCTTATCATATGAATCTTTATTAGATGAGAAATTAATGTTTTTCAAAGAACAAATTTCCGCTAATTCGTATTACCTATTAAAAAAAAGCCACTAAAACCTGTTGGACTCGGAATACAGACTGTTCTTTGGGTAAGAAATGAAGGTGCATAGGAAAAGGGGTAAAATATTTCCCATTTCTTTCCTTATCTTTCTCTTCTGTTTCAGCAAGATTGACATAATTGTTGACGTTATTTCTTATGAAGACACACACAATCCTATCTCTGTAACTTTTCCAAACGACTGACCCAGAATATGCTTCCTCCTCTGTATCTATGCACAGCCCACATGTCCCTGTGAAGCTGGAGCCCTTTGGCTCTTATGGACCTCACTTTCCTTTGAACTCATACATATGTGATTGTAAAGCATAGCATGTATGATTATTTTAAATCAGGTAAGATCATGTTATATCAAATCATTTTCTTCGTGTGTATGTATTTTCTCAATTGCATTGTAAGCTCTTCAAGGGTAAAGGCACTATGTTATACAGCTTTTCATAAGTATAGCTTAGCAGAGCATATCTAAGTGTTTGAATAAATGAATGAGAGCCTGATTCATGAGTCTCCTGGTTATGGTAGTCTGCAGATGAAGTGTTACTTTTGCTTACTAAAAACGTCTTCTATTACAGAGGGCTATGCTATGGCTACTGATTTTACTGCAAATTATGCCTGAATACATCCTCTACTCCTTCTCACAGTAGCTAGACCTCCCCCATGGCAACGAATAGAGAACACTATGAACAGAGAAAGACCGTGGCAAGACCTGGACATCCAACCTGAAATTCACTTGTAGATTTGACTGCCATTGCACATAGTTTCTGGGCTTCTGCAGTCATTTTTTCCATAGAGTTAATTTCTAACAAATTAGTAGGACCACGTGGATTCTGTTTTCAATCTCTATTAAAGATAACATCATTTATCTTTTTATTTCTTCATTCTATCAATCATTTCTCCATTCTCCGTGCTTACTGAACACCTATGATGTGCCAGATATTGTTCTAGACATGAAGAATTTTTAGTTAAAAATTTCAGTTAATAAGAAATTTTCTGTCCACTGAAAGTTTTCAGTTTAGGGAGAAAGCAAAATTTAACTAGATAATGCAAATAAAGTGTGACAACACTATGAACAGGTCCAGTGGGGGACCATAAACTATAGCCTCCTGTCGAGTGTAGGTAATATTTGTTCCTATTTATAGATAAGAAATATTGTCAGCGTTATGGCTGGATGCACACACAGTCCATACAGATATTCTGTAGGGAATATAGACTATGGGCATGTCAAAAATGTTCTCTTTGTTTTCAAGCATGCACTCTGTAGCACATACCTGGATGTATTCTGTAAGGGAATTGAAAATCTGCTTGGTGACTGCCAGAGCTTTGGAAAAATTGTGCTGTCCAGATTCATCAATGATGTCCTTCCCTGAATAATACCAGTAGAAATCACTGATTGATTCCTAAAAACAAACAAGAAGAGCTTAGTATTTCTCAGACTTCAGTCAATGAAGCTAAACTCGGTGTTTAAAAAGAGTATAAGAGAATACTACATCTCTATGACCTTTTTGCTATGACAGGAGCCAGGGAGTCTGAATAAGTACAGAGATCTCCAATCCCTGGCATCTTTAAAGCACAACTATCTCTCTGCAGGAAAGAATGGATAGGAGAGAGGACAGCCTTCAACTGGAGCTGAGAGACTATAAGACAATTTATTCAAAGTGAAAAAATGTACATTGAAAGTCATAATGATTATTATCCAAATAATAACAACAGCAACAACGTAACAGCTAACATCGTACGTGCCATACATTGTTCTAAACACATTACATATACAGGCATACCTTGGAGATATTGTCGTTTTGATTCCAGACCACTGCAATAAAGCGAATGTTACAATAAAGCAAGTCACACAAAAATTTTGGTTGCTTAGTGCATATAAAAGTTACTTTTACACCATACTGTAGTGTATTAAGTGTGCAACAGCATTATGTCTAAAAAAATGTATATACCTTAATTAAAATATATATATATTTTTTTTTTTTTTTTGAGACAGAGTCTCACTGTGTTGCCCGGGCTAGAGTGAGTGCTGTGGCATCATCCTAGCTCACAGCAACCTCAAACTCCTGGGCTCAAGCGATCCTTCTGCCTCAGCCTCCCAAGTAGCTGGGACTACAAGCATGCACCACCATGCCCGGCTAATTTTTTCTATGTATTTTTAGTTGTCCGATTAATTTCTTTCTATTTATAGTAGAGACGGGGTCTCGCTCTTGCTCAGGCTGGTTTCGAACTCCTGAGCTCAAACAATCCGCCCACCTCGGCCTCCCAGAGTGCTAGGATTACAGGCATGAGCCACTGTGCCCGGCCGTAAAATATACTTTATTGCTAAAAAATGCTAACAGTCATCTGAGCCTTTAGCGAGTTGTAATCTTTCTGCTGGTGGAGGGTTTCGCTGGTCTTGATGCTGATGGCTGCTGACTGATCAGGGTGGTGGTTGCTGAAGGGTGGGGTGGCTGTGGCAATGTCTTCAAATAAGACAACCATAAAATTTGCTGCATCAATTGATCCTTCCTTTCATGAAAGATTTCTCTATAGAGTGCAATGCCGTTAGATAGCATTTTACCCACAGTAAAACTTCTTTCAAAATTGGAGTCAATCCTCTCAAACCCAGCTGCTGCTTTATCAACCAAGTTTATAGAATCTTCTAAATCTTTTGTTGTCAGTTCAACAATATACACATCATCTTCACCAGGAGTAGATTCCATCTCAAGAAACCATTTTCTTTGTTCATCCATAAGAAGCAACTCTTCGTCCATGCAAGTTTTATGATGAGATTCCAGCAATTCAATCACGTCTTCAGGCCCCACTTCTAATTCTAGTTCTTACTTATACCACATCTGCAGTTATTTCCTCCACTGAGGTCTTGAACCCCTCAAAGTCATCCATGAGGGTTGGGATCAACTTCTTCTAAACTCCTGTTAATGTTGATGTTTTGACCTCCTCCCTGAATCATAAGTGTTCTTAATGGCAACTAGAGTTCCAGAAAGTTCTCGATTTACTTTGTCCAGATCCATTAGAGAAATCACTATCTATGGCAGCTACAGCCTTACGAAATCTATTTCTTAAATAATAAGACTCAAAAGTCAAAACTACCCCTTGATCCATAGGCTGCAGAATGGATGCTGTGTTAGTTAGCAGGCATGAAGACAACATTAATCTCCTTGTACATCTCCCTCAGAGTTCTTGGGTGACCAGTTGCCTTGTCAAGGAGCAATAATATTTTGAAAGGAATCTTTTTTCTGAGAATTAGATCTCGACAATGGGCTTAAAACATTCAGTAAGCCAGGCTATAAACAGAGGGCAGTCATCCAGGCTTTGTTGTTGCATTTATAGAGCCCAGAGTAGATTTAGAATAATTCTTAAGAGCCCTGGGATTCACAGAACAGTAAATGATCATTGGCTTCAACTTAAAGTCATCAGCTTCATTAGCCCCTAACAAGAGTCAGCCTGTCCTTTGAAGATTTGAAGGTAGGCTTTGACTTCTCCTCTCTAGGTATGAAAGTCTTAGATGGCATCTTCTTCCTATAGAAGGCTGTTTTCATCTGCCATGAAAATCTGTTGTTTAGTGGAGCCACCTTCATCAATGATCTTAGCTAGATCTTCTGAATAACTTGCTGCTTCCCCTTGTACTTTTATTTATGGAGATGCCTTCTTTTCTCAAGCCTCATGAAATAACCTCTGCTAGCTTCCAACTTCTCTTCTGCAGCTTCCTCACCTCCCTCATCATTTATAGAATTGAAGAGAGCTAGGGCCTTGCTCTGGATTAGGCTTTGGCTTAAGGGAATATTGTGACTGGTTTGATCTTCTACTCAGACCACTGAAGCTTTCTCCATATCAGCAATAAGGCTGTTTCACTTTCTTATTATTCTTGTGTTCACTGGAGTAGCACTTTAACTTCCTCAAGAACCTTTCCCTTGCATTCACAACTTGGCTAACTGCTTAGTGCAAGAGGTCTAGCTTTTGGACTATCTTTGCTTTTGACATGCCTTCCTCACTAAGCTTAATCATTTCTAGCTTTTGATTTTAAAATTCTTTCACCTTAATGCTTAGAGGCCACTTTAATAACTTGTAGGTTTGTTAATTGGTCTAATTTCATATTGTTGTGTCTCAGGGAATAGGGAGGCCCAAGGAGAGGAAGAGAGACTGAGGGATGGCTGGTCGGTGTGGCAGTCAGAACACTCACAACATTTATGGATTAAGTCCACTATCTTATATAGGCACGGTTCATGGTGCACAAAAACAACTGTGATAGTAACATCAAAGTTCACCATAACAGAGCACGATAACAGATATAACAGTAATGAAAAAGTTTGAAATCTATTGTGAGAATTACCAAAACGTGATACAGAGACACAAAGTGAGCACATGCTGTTGGAAAAACGGCACTGATGGACTTGCTTGACACAAGGTTGCCACAAACCTTCAATTTGTAAAAAAAACACAGTATCTGTGGAGTGCAACAAAGCAAAGTGCAATAAAATGAGGTATGCCTGTATTAAACCTCTCAATCTTTACTACCACTCTATGGGACACGTCCTAGTCATTTTATCAGTGAGAAAACTGGAACACAGGGAGGTTAAATATATTGCTCCAGGTTATAAATTAGTAAGTGGCAGAATCAGGATGAGGAATAAGAAAAAAAAAACCCTTTTTTATGTTTGTGTAGATTTTCTCTATATAATTTGGACTTCCTTTGAACAATGAAGCCAAGTGACTTCTCAACACTAAGAACTTTTAGACTCATCTTGTTCCCATCACCTGTGTCACTCTTTTTCCTAGTGAAATCTGCTCTCATTTACAGGTTGTTGTATAGCTCTTGGCACCGCAGCTAGGTTTTCAGTGGCAAAATTAAAGCAAAATAACATTTTATAACAGATGATTTGGTATTTAACCACCTTAGTCTCCAAACGTACTTGTTAGGCATTTGACATTCCATGAGTGTGTGGACATGTATTCCACTGTCTTCCTGATTGGGGCTTGACTGTAACCCAGGTCTTCCCTGACCCTGTGTGACTGTCTCTAGCTTTGGGGAGTACAGGTGAGAGGTGCCATCGTCCAAGGCCTTCCTACTCACCTGCAGACGAAGAAGGTAGTCCACGGTGCTGATGATGATGTTCACGGTGGTGGTGTTGCCCATCTGAGTCCGCAGGAAGTTCTGAAAGTCTGAGAGTACCAGTGCTGGGTCAGAGCCCATCCCCGGCATGCCCTCTCAGCTGAGCTGAGAAGAGACACACTATATGAAAAGTCTTACAAAGACACCATGTGTGGGTCCTGGCAGATTCCACAGGTCAGAGCTCTGCTCTGAGTCCTCCCAACCTGCTGACATCAGAAACTGGACTTAATGAGCCCTAAGGGGCTAGATGAAAAGGGCTGGGTAGATTCACCATCTGAAGATTCCGAAAGCAGCTTAGCCTTGGTGGCACTAAATAACATTAGCTATGAAGTTAAGGGTTGTTTTACATAGTTTCTTATTGAGGAATGGATGAACTGATGTCTTGAGTTAGCAACTGGTGGTATCAAATGGGACATATTGAACTGAATTATAATTCTACACCTGAAAATGTCACTTTTCCTTGGCAGATCAATCTGTTCCACTCACCATTGTTATGTCCCTCACAAAGTAACTGCAGGAATCTAAAGAGATCACGCGTGAACTCGTCATTCTGGAGGACTTTTTCACCTTGAAAACACAAAATGTTGGTGAGCATTTGTTTGACTTCTTAACGCAGAACACTTTATAAGGTCAATGACCACAAAAATGATAAAGGAATTGTGTCAGAATGGTTTGGTTTATCACCATTTGCATGAATGGTGATAAACTCGATTAAACTGAGCTTAGGCTGTAGAGCACAATGCCCAAGAAACGAATTTGTAACAGAAACAACTGGGATAGTGGCAGTAAATGGTTCACAGTCCATAACCCATGCTTTACAGATGGAAGACACTTCTTTAATTAAGCACCAAACTGCTGAGTTAAACTCGACATGCAGCCACCAAGCCTAAAATATGTCTGCGCCGAGGCAATTAAATGAGATCTCTTAGGATTCGCACACATGGTAGGAACTCAGGCCAGAAACTCGAACTTACCACGCTCACGAACAATGACTGGTGATAAGAGAAAAACAGAAGAATACAAAGTAAGAAAACCATAAACACCATGACAAAATGTCTTTAGTTAAAACTGGCTCTATGACCACATCCAGGCTGGATGCTGGCTTTATCAAAGCTCCTGACGGAAACATTTTGCTGAGCCGGATCAAATCTTTGCAGATTAAGAAGCAGTAAGCATGGACTCTGACCACAAATAGTTAATTAAGGTTTTAATCAGGAAGAGAATGGCCTCACATTCATCAGCTACTCACGCGTTCCTTCTTCAGTCACCATCCCCAGGCCTTCAGCTTTGTTCTGCCTCTCAAATGCATTCAAATCAAGGACACTTTTAATAGACAAAAGAAAACAAGGTTCAGGGCTATGCATACTGGGAAGGTAGCTGTCTAACGTCAGTGTATCTATTGACTAAGAATATCCCATCCCTGTATTATCATAAAAGGACTAACCCATTACAGTGTGGTTGAAAGGCTCTGGTTTCTTGGCTTTGTGCCAAGCAGTGTTGTCTAAGAAGGCCGACAGCTCACAGACCTCGTCACATACAAGAGGGGTAATACACACTTGTGGTGACTATCATTGTTCATCCAGTTTGAGTCCTTTCTTACAGACGAAGATTTAGAAAGGATAAAGAAGGATTGATCTGTTTCTAGGATTTCTCAAGGAAAAGCTTATCTTAAATTGCCCTAATTACTGTTTGCCTCCCATCTTTATCTGCCTCCTCGGGGAGTCACATGGAATTGTGGTTTCCAGTGCTTAGGATGAGTGCTGTTGGGGGAGCCACAAACTTCCAGATTTGGAAGGGCCATACCCTTTGACGATTCCTGCATCGTTCAGGAGCCAATGGCAGCCGAGATTAAGCTTTTCCACAGGCAATAGTGTCCCTGGTGTTTCTGAACTTGTGACAAGTTGGTCTCATTTTTGTCCCTACTTCCCCCAACCTTCCCAGTCACAGCCACTGCTGAGTTTTACTTAGCCAGGAAGCCCTAGCACAACCACAAAGCCTGACAATGAGAACATTATATGATGGTGTTATTTCTAAGTAGGACTCATTCTATTTTACTAACAAAATCTAACTCTTTCCCCAATCTGAAAGATTTCATAGAATATAGAACACAAGATCTCAAAAGAATAGCCATATTCTTCTTAGGGAAGCTATGGCCAAGTCCATTAGGAATCTGCAAAACCCAGCCTTCCTTTTACCCTTAGGCAAAGAAAAATGACTGTCAGACTGGAAAGACATTGGGGAAAAATTCAGCATCCCTTCTCCCTTTTTAGGGAGTCACATATGTTCTGCAATTTAGGTAAATTTTAAACAGAAATCAGTGAAATCCTTATTGCCATCTTTGTTGTTGTTTTCCCAGATTCTGCTGGAAAAAGGCCCCACTCAACAACACAAAATTATCATCTACTTTGGTTTTGCCATCAGGGGAGGATAACATGGAAAAGGACATTTGGATGTAGTTGCTTTGAAGTAGCAGTTTTGATGATGTATCTATGCAATACACATTTCTGATCCTTGCTCCATCCCTAAATACGTGTTTTGAATGTTTTAATCTTTTTAAGGCTTAAATATTTTACAAATATGTATTATTTTTATAATCATTGAAAACCATTAAGATATCTTAAAACTTCTATTAGAACTCAGTTGGCATCTAAGTGCAAATCACCTGTCTCTCCAAGTCATCATTATAAATGAGTTTATCAATATTAAGTATTATAGAATACTAAGAGAACTCAGAAATTTAGTGGATAACTTCATGAGCAACATGGAACTGAACTACCTTGATTTTTGCCATCTCTGAGTTCACATGTACTATTTTACCCTCATGATTGAGGTCTGACAATATTGCGTTTTCTTTTTCCGAGAGAGATAATAAACGAATAGATCGTAGGTGGAAAAAAATTTATAGAGCTGAGAACAAGAGACCATATTGCAGCTCAAATATGCTCCCTTCTGCCCCAGGGTACAACATTTACCCAATCAAATAAGGTTAGCAAAATTATGAAGTCTACCAAAAGAAAAGATGTCCTTCTTCTAAATTTTCAAATGAAAAACATAATATTCTATTTTAAAGCCTATTAATTGGAAGCAAATAAGCTAATTAAAAATTTGATTTCTTTTAGAATGAGTTGCAGACTATTTAAAATACACATGAATCTTAGAGACTAAGCCGACCCTTTTCTTAGAAAGACTGCTGGCTCATTTCTGAAATGAACAAGTATGGTGACCTCATGACTCTTGGTTATATATTGTTTATTTGTCAGAGGGTTCTGCCATGAGGGGCGGCTTGCACAGCCTGGTAATATAAACTGAAAGTTTAAAGCTTTGGTTTTTAGGCTATATCAAAATGTTCCCATGCCAGGATGCATCTCTGTCAAAAAGGATGTGTCAAAGTATGTATCCCCCACCCCCATTCAAATATCCATTCAAGTTCAAAGAATTGTTAAGCATAAAGATTAACAAAGTACTGAGTGGGTCTCATTAAAACATAACCTTGAGTCATAGTGAGGTATTCCCCCTTTTTTCCATTCTTTTCTGGTCTGAATTTTATGGGCATATATATTTGAGGAGACACTGAATGTACACCCTCAGCCTCCTAGGAAAGCAACATAACAAAAAAGGAGGTAAGGAAGGGTGACTGGAAACAACACCAACAATAGTGGGGAAGTGTGTGTTTGTGGCTAATGGAGATTACACTTTCCCCTTTGAATGCAAACCTGAAGGCTGGAGGACCAATACTCTCTTCACTTTCTAAAGCAGGTGACTCCTCTCCCAATAATTCCGTGGTAGAACAGTTGATTTTGTGCTCTTCCTACCCAAACCCCCCTTCCTTGCATAGGGAAGAGTTTAAAAAATGTTACGTGGTTTTCTCCTATTTACCTGCAAGACTGCATAAGACCAGAAAGGCTTTGAAAGAATCCGGCATCCTTTTTCTCCTTGAGGTAATCTAGCATTTTCTGCGAGGGAGACACATTACAAAGGGAAAAGCAATGAAAACTGTGCCACGAATGTTGACCCTCCTAATCCTGATGGAGAAACAGCAAATCCCCAGCCACACAGGCACACTGAGTCGGACCCTCTACTTATGGAGTCAGAGTCTCTTGGGGTGGACCATGTTTATTTTACAAGGGCCCACCGGTGTTCTTGCTAGGGCAGAATTAACATTCATGGATTTACTGTTGAAGTCTCTCCTATTTGGTAATAAGCACCAGGACCGCGATGTAGTAATGTTTAATATTATTGAGGTATAATCTGAATAGCTCATGCTATGAGTTTGGCAAACAGGACTGCAAGGAGTTTAGGCAATAATGAACCTAGCTGAAAACTCAGTATTTCTTTCACAATGAGACTTTGTTTCCTTTGTTCTCTGTTACTGGGAGGGCAGGAATTATGTCTGACATCATAAAATTTTGTGAAAAAAATAAATAAAAGGCTCTGCAAGAAAGTCAATTGATAGCTGGTGGTGGAAGAGTGGAAAATGAGGG